GGGTTTGTTTTTTTTGGTTTTGTTTTTTTCTTTGTTGTTTTTGTTAATGTTGTTTTAATTCAATGGTGCACACAGTACAGTACCTTCCTTCTTGAAATTCATATGGTTCCTGCTGTGATTGACAGGATGCAGCTTCATTATGCAGTTGGCTGGATGGGCCGATTATGGCTGTGAATGTGTAAATGGGGTGAGTGAGAGAAATATGTAATTGATTCTGGCTGTGGTTCATTAACAGTGAGAATGCATCACACTCACATCTGTAAGGGAAGGAATGAGAGAAACTTCCTTGTACTTTTTTTAGTTGTTTGGAAAAGCTCGCTGTGCTAATATTTTTGCCATCGAGTGTCACATTTTCAAAGAACAAGGGAAGAGTAAATTACATTGTAAGTAATTTATGTCAGTCCTCCTGGTTGGTTTTTGAAGCACAGTCACTTCTCTTCACCCTTTTCAACTGGAAGTTGTGTTTCATCCTTGCTCATGCTGCTCTGCCCTTTCTCCAAAGCAGTAGAGTTAAAAACTTGTGTGAGAAAACAGCAAGTTAAGCTGTATGGATTGACTTTTTTAAGAAAAAGACCTGAGAAAAGAAGCCTCATTGGCCTTTTTACACATGAAGTTTGTACTCTACAGCAGTTGTAGTTTCATTTCTGAAATACCTCCTTTCCTTACAAGCACTGTTTTAAACCAACAGCTTCATTAGCATTAAAAGCAGTTTGAGCCATTGTTGGGGCCCAAATCCCAGATAAGGATATACCTTCCTTGGGGGCTCTCCACCTCAATGTGCTATTAAAAATGTAAGCAAACATCTCTGCTCTGTGTACACAGAGTGATTTACGGGCCCATGGATTGCAGCTTTCTTTTTAATGAAGTTTTCTATCAGTGCGCTTGGCTGGAAGATTGACCACTCAAATCAGCAACTTCACAGCACTGCTGGCAGCTTCTTTTGACATAAAAGTTAAAATACTACAAATGGTTAGTGAGGCATTCTCTGAGTGATGACTGCTCTCTTTTTTGACCTGTTTACTTGGATTTGAAGATCAAAAAACCATGATGTTCTTTTTGGGAAATGTTTGCATCCCTTATGCCTGTTTGGCCTCACTGAGAAGTGCCCGGAACCCGAAGGGTAAAGACGCTGCAGGAGCGAACAAGAGCCAGCTTTTCCAGCCAAACTAAACCTGAGTTTCTCTACATTTTCCCCAATTTAAAAGTCTTTAGGTGATGAGACTGCTACTGTTTCATGCCATTGTGTCCTCAGTGTGCCTTCAGCCCATGGTCATGCTCATCCCCATGGCTGGTGCTCCCACCTGCCTTGCTGCTGCAGTCAGTTTGCCTTCTCTGGTGAAACTCCTTCCTGTGTATCTGTCCTCTGACAATCCTTTACTGCTGTGTTTTCCTTCAGAAAGCCCGTGCTCTTCCCCAGGGTGGATCCTTGTTCTGGCCAGGTGTGGAAGGTGCCAGCTAGGGCTTGCACATCCGTGGTTGTCCTTGCCAGCAGTCCTGGAAGTTTACAATTGAGGCTGGCTGCTGTAGTGGGTGCTCAGAACAGCAGGGCAGCAGTTCTGCCCTGAATTTTCTTGTGGACAAGTGTTTGTAGACCTCCCCCATGGCACATACTCCTCCATCCTCCATCTCTCTCCAAGGGATAAAATGTGAGCAGAAAGGAAACTTTATTGTGGCAGACAAGCTTGAAGTTTGACAGTCTTTGTTGATATATTAAAAATAAATGATGCTGCTTCAGCCTGTGAAGTCTGATTTTCAGGTAGCAACTGCATGGGCTGAAGGAGGGGGAAGAGCTGTTTTGTTTTCTGGTTTGTTTCCTTTATGCCTGTACAATCTCAAAGGGTTTTGCCCACCTGCAAACTTTAAGGTATTTTGGAATAGCTTGAGCAGAATAGCATGTAGTTTAGGAAATGTATGTATTCACTGATTTTATTGACAATGTACAACAATAAAATTATTACTTCTCTGTTTGTCTGCCAGCCATAAAGCACTGGCATATTAGTAATGCTGTTCTGCTAATAAAATCTTTATCATGTGTTTCAGAATAATAACGTGCCTAAGAATCTAAGAAAAGCATTTCTTTGCCAATATGCTGGAAACAATTACAATAGTTGTGATATTTTATAAACCAGTTCATAAAATCATGGAATGTTTTGGGTTGGAAGCAACCTTAAACATATCTAATTCCAAAGGCCATAGGATGCCTCGCCATTAGATTGGGTTGGTCAGGGCCTATTCAATTAATAACTATCTTCTGTGTCCTGTCTAAAGAGCTAACTATGATGGACATGGAAAAAATTAAAAATATAATATAATATGATATGATATTATATAATATTTAAATATAAAAGCTAATACCTGCATTAAAGATTACTTACATGAAGTGTCTGGTGCAGCAATACAGGATTGTTGACATGTTGCTATGAAAATGCTCAGTTGGGAAGTTCTGAAAAAAAGATGACAAAACCATTTTGCATCTGTTGAGCAGAGGCTTAAAAGTAGTGTTTAATAATGAAAGACTAAAGGAATGGAAGTAAAGATTTAGTGAGTGAAATGCATCTAGAAGTTACTCTGTGGCAGTTCTATACAGAAAGACCCAGGCAAGAATTTGGTATTTGATCTGTTCCCCAAAACTCCTTCTTGCCTAAGTAATCAGTTAATAATTTAAGGCATTATACTTCAGCTTTCAAGGAGATGCATGTTGAAATGCAAGAAACTCAGCCTTAGCCATAAGAGGGAAATGTTTATGGATCTTTTCTTATCCATCCTTCACACATTCTTTTAAAGTTGGTTTTATAGTTGTTCCTCTATTTGCTTGTTGGCTGCTGGGTATTGTGAATTTGAAATTTATCATGGTAACTCTGATCTTGATGTCTGTAAATGCAGGGCAAACTTGACTGAGATGAGATTCAGGAGTATTATACTTTTCCTGTAGAATCATAGAATTGTTTAGGTGGGAAAAGACCTCTAAGGTCATTGAGTCCATCCAGTAACCCAGGCTGCCAAGTCCACTGTTAAATCATGCCTCTGGCTCAGTAATTGAAGTTCACCTGTTGTAAAATACAACACACAGGAAAAAGGTCAAGAAGTTTTTTTTTTTCTTTTCCTTTCTCTGAAGTTGCCAGCACTTCCAAATAGAAATGTTCCTTGGAAAGTTTCAACCTCCAGGAAACTGCTATGGTCATGAACAGAAATTACAGTCTTTGGTAATGGAAGTACTCACACAACCTTTTCTCAGCACACAGAAGCAAATTTTAAACTAGCTCTTTCCTTTTTTCAACTCCTTTCCTAATAGTTCTCAGTTTATGATAGTGGCTACAACACATGTACAAGTATAACTCTTTTCTGAACTCACAGGTTTAGTGTCCTGCTGTCATCCTGCTTGTCAGTGGATAAAGACTCAACACCTGCTTGATGGTTCAGTAGTAGGGAGGGTTCTCTGGAGTCGCTATCTGGCAGCTGTGACATTCAGCAGAAATTATCCAATCTGTCCATCTTGTTCCCACAACTGGAGAAAATTACTGTGATCAAAATGGAAAGAAGAGTTCTCAACCTTTTATTTACTTCCCAGGAGGTTTTTTTTTCTGTAGCAGTTGGGTGGTTTAGCTCTTATAGGTTTCAGTTTGCATCACAGTGGATTCCTCAGTGTTTTTGGGCACTGGGAATAGACGTGTTTAGCTTCCTGATTTATCAATACTTTTTGGCTAATGTATAGGAGATATTTTGAATATTTTGGAACATTATGACTCATCATAAAAACCATCTTTTGAGTATCAGAGAGCAGGACTTGACAGATGATGTCTGTGTTTAAAAGAAAAGACTGTACATTTTAATGTTAGTTTGTCCATTTGCTTTTAGGCTTTGGCATATGTTGGATGGAAATCATCAAAACCAGCTTGGACAAAGAATAATGGTGTTAATTCTGTAGGATTTGTGATAAAATTAAAATGTTCTGGAGTGTAGCAACAGCAGATGTTTCTTGGAAACCTGACCCACATGGGATAGAAACACAACTTAAAAGGGGACCAGTGCTACTGCAGTCGAAAGTGTTGGCCTAATCCCTGTTTGTGCAACATTGAAAAAGAAAATACATAGTGCCACTGCTTATTTCTGCTATGCATTGTAGGAAATTATAAAGAAAGGCAAATAAAAATACACATCTGCTACCATAACTCATTTTATTATGCTCACATACACTATAGAAGAATGATGTGTAAAAAGTAAATGTGCTTCATAATAACTGGGGGGATAGGAAGGAGGCAGATAAAAAAATATCATGGTACCTTTTAATCTGCAGATTTTTTTTTTCAACACTTTTTTTACTCCAGGCTCTTAAATTCATTTTTCTTACAGTACTTTGGAGACTTTGATTGATTGCAACATCTGATTTTGATGAGTCCAAAGGCATCTTACCTAAGATGACTGTGCTTTCTCTTCTTGCTCGTTAAAACTTTCTTCAAACAGAATATTTTGTTTTATTGCATGGCATCTCCATCTGGTCTGATGTGAAAGGAAAGCATGTTTCTTGAATAACCAACACATTCCTAACTTCTTTTCAAATGGTGGCTGAGGAAAAACAGACGACCTGTGTATCACCATCAATGTGCTGAGGTTCTGTGTGGTGAACTTTCCCAGTGAGTGGACTTCAAGGAGTGAAATCAACTGTTTCAAAGTTCTACAGTATTTACAGTTGCAGAGGCCTTAAGATTTAGAGGATTTGTACAAACATTTCATCCTTCCTATGTGTGCATTGCAGTAGACATGTAACAAGCCTTCACTGTATCTTTCTCATTTCCTCATTTAGTCCAAATTCTTCAAAATTTAACCTTTAATGATTTATGTTTAGTTATTGCACATGTAGATTATGATGTGTTTTACAGTTAAGTATGTTTGCTTGCATTGTTATTCCTGCCTTTGTGTGTAGCTGCAATTCCAGACTGGATTGATGTGCGATTCAGTAGCACCTTTAATGTTTTTTTTCTTCTTTTTTTTATTCACTGCAGATGTGATCCATACTGTTGGGCCAATTGCAAGAGGCCATCTCACTGACACTCATAAAGAAAACTTAGCAAGTTGCTATAAGTCCTCTCTGAAACTGGCAAAAGAAAACAACATCAGGTCAATTGTAAGTATTATGGAAGAACACATTACTGTTTTTTCTAGTTTTGATCTTACTTTTCTTGATGTAGAATAATTACAATTGTAAGCTTCCAGATACATTCCTTGCTCTTCATGCTATGAAAACCCAAAAAATTAAACATGATTTGACCAAAACAATTGCTAGATGAAAGGGCTAAGCTTACTTTAGGAGTTAGAGAAAGCGTGCCTGGTAGTAGGAGTACAAGCAGCTGTCTCGTTAAAGAAGAGAGGAAGCTGATCCCATGGCTCATTCTTATACTGTATTATTTATTAAAAAACCCCTAAGAAGCCACTGGTCTGCAGTAGAGCCTCCTTAAGAGCTGAGAAGTGATTAATTTGTTGCTTATTCTACCCATTAATATTTCCTAAAAATAAGGGTGTTGGTCAGTTGTGACTGGTTTTAGCAGCCTCTCACCAAAATCGATCATAAAATAGCCTATTTTGTGATACTTCATTGAACTATAAAGTTCATTAAATTTGAAATACGTGGTACAGTTTTGTACCTCAAAGTGCCAAATTTTCAAAGGCCACAGGGAAAAGGAGCTTTTCCTTCTCCAGCTCCAGAGCTTTAATTCTGTAGCTCACACAGTTGCAGCTTAAGTCTTCACGTATGCATAGGTTAGTTCCTTGTAGGTTTGAGAAAAAATTTGCATTCTGAGCCTGACTTCACACTTTTGGGGTCATTTTGGCTGGTTATATGATAGCACATATGTTTGGCAACTTAGAATGCAAACATACACACAATCTTTAAAAATGTAAGCTGAACCAATTGTGTTACATAAGGATATAATATTCAGTAAGGGGAAGCTATTAACACTAAAATATCACAAATGGAAAATAAAGCTTTTTGAGGAGAGGAGCAGGACAGTCTGTAGGGCTTTGAACTGAAGTTAGGTGTGACCTCCAGAGTCAGACCTGATTAATATCACTTATTTCTTTCTTTTTGGTGAGAGCTCTGCTCCTCAACCCTCTTTGTGCTCATGGCATCCTCTCTCTGCTTCTCAAATCGGTGCCCAGCAATCCCTCTTTTTTCCATTATACAAACCATTGTGGGGTTTGTTTTCTGTGGTGGGTTTGTTTTTTTATTTATTCTAGAAAATTATTCTGTAAAAATTAGAGCTGAAAACAACCTCGGGTTGGTGGGCAAGTTTTGAGCCCCTCTCTGGTGTTACTTAAACACTGAAGGATATTCGTGTCCTTCTGCCATTCTGATGGGAGCCAATAAGAACTTTGTGCATTTGCTCCTACATCCATACTTGTTTCTGCCTGTTCTGGGCAGTATCAGGCTTTTGGGGCATTCAGGTTAGTGTTCCTAATTAAAAAAAAATGTTTCTAATATGATGTGGGGAAAAGAAAATAGAATAATAATTATGAGAGGGTGTAAAAAAGGGTATTGAAATAACAAAGGAAAGGCTTTAGTGGGCATTGGTCAATGCAGGTAATGCTTTATCTGTAGGGAGTCTGTAATTTTTAGGACATTGTAGGTGGTAGCATGGTGTTTAACATGGAATGATAAAAAGGGATTGTACTCACGAAAACTAGTGTGATACATCATGAAAACTGGCCTGATATTTTAATGAGAAAAGATAACCACAGGAGAGATCATCCACAGGTTATTTCCTTGCTGGTTAAGAGTTGTTAGCTGTGCACCTGTTTGAGATAAAAAATACTCAGCACCCAGACTTGCAGAACACAGCTGCACAAACTGAACAGGAGCCAAGAGCCACTCATTCATAGCAGCATTTAGAAGCTTAGCAAGCAATATGGATTTTAAAGTCCACGTGACAGATCATGGACTGTTCTGAAAAGCCCTAAGTCCAGTGATTTCAGGGATGCCTTGGGAAGTGGAGGCTACTTGAGTGTCTGTCCTAATGAACAAACCAAGCCTGGAAAAACATGAAATGTATAATTCATTCAGTTAGGGAGCAGTAGGTTACCGTGAGTCTGAAGGAAAAAAATGCAAAGGGTAAGTGGGTTTCACAAGATCCAGTAGGTGTAGAGGGAAGGGAAAGAAAGTGAGTTAATCTACAGATTTCTGAGGCTTGCAGAGACCCAGATAGAGGGAGCAAAGGATTCAAATCGACTCAAATAGACAACATTTGAGTGCAGATTGGGTTATGGCAACAGAAATATTCGCAGTACAAAGAAGACAGACAAAAATTGTGGGGGAAAAAAAGGTTGCCTATGTGAAATGAGGAGGAGGAAATCAGCTATGCCAATGGATGGCCTATTTTGATTGCCTCTTTAACAAGAAAATGAAATAAGTATATGAAAGAGAAAAATAAGGAATTTTAAAGTAGATAATGAGTAAAAGGAGGAAAAGCCATATGTTACTGACAATAAATAGGTATTGGTGTAACAAGTTTCAGTATGCTAAAAGAATTAACTGAACCAGGGAGCATTGGTACACTAGCAATTGTAATAACTGAGAAGGAAGCAGGAAGATATTAGGTTGTAACGGCACAAATCTGTTACCTTCAAAACAGGAAGGATAAGTCTAGAAATTATTGGAAGAAGGGGAAAAAGCCGCACCACAACTGAAAGTATTTTGAACATGAATTGTGTCAAAGGAGTTAGAATTGCTGGAGGCATTGTGAATAGAGAGAGAGATGATGAATGGTGGTGTATTGAGCTGGACCAAAGCATGCAGGGTGACTCAGGGTGCACCACTAAATGCAGTTTAATTTGACATCCTAATGATTTTTGAAGAGTACATAAACACCTCATTAATTGCATTTACAAATGATACTGCGATAGAGGCAGTGTTGAAACCACTAGAAAAGGACAGAGATATATGATAACAATTGATCAGAGACTGAATATAACCTCATCAGCATCCACTCCAGTGCTAGAAGGAGGTTTCTTTCTTTGTTGCAATGGAAGAGAGGTCAGAAATGTAGCTGACAGCTACGGTGAAGCTCAGCACAGGAAATGATGGAGTAGCTTATGGTGGGGAAAAATAACCCAGTTCACAAATAGTCAAAGTGTGTCAGAAAACCAGCACAATGAGGAAATGGTGTTGAATAATAAGTCTCAAATTAGATGTACTTAAAGCAGTTACTTGTTTCACTATTACATATTGTTGATCTGCCTCTGGAGGAATGATGGATGCCACAGAGATTGTATTTCAGTTCAAAGTGGACTGGGGAGAGCTGGAATAGGATTCAAAATAGACCCAAACTCCCTTATACGTGTGTGTATGTAGTGGTTTTACACACTGAGGAAGGGAAGCAATAGGCTTTAAATACTGTGTAAATTCTGAGATGCAGATTTATGGAGGGGAGGAGAGAACAAGATCATCATGTGTGTGACAGCAGGGCAATTATATGGTGTAGCTGATAGTGATTTAGGTTGTGTTCACATCCAAGGTGTCCAGGCATGGATGAGAGCAACTCTGGCTAACTCCTGAGGGAGCACTAATATCTCATCTGTGCATGTTATCATCTTGGTATCTAAAAAAAAAAGAAAGATGGGTACAACTGAAAATGAGAGGAGGGAATGTAATGAAATGCCCATCAGAGTGATTGCCAAGGTTCATAATCCACCAGCAGCCCAGCTGTGGGTGAGTGGCTGCTTAGCCATTAAGGCAGGAAGAAAAGCCTTAGGAACAAATTTGATCATCCTCAGGATTGCTCAGAGAAATCACACAGCCCCTGACATTTGTCTCCTGAGCCTGTTTTCTGAAATGTTTTATATTCAGTATGAGGCTCCAAATGCCATATCAGCTATTTTGTCCGGAGTTAGCCTCTCTCAGGTCCTCTACTCCATCTGCCTTCTAGCTTACCAAAGTTTCTGTTAGTGTGTCCTTGTTATCTTGCATTCCCAAATCCACACACTGCTTTTTCCTCAGCACTTGTTTATGTAGCTGTGCTCCCCCTAGGACACTTGTGCTGCTGCCTGACTATTTGTGTGGTCAGGGTGAACCTTTTGTGTTGGATGAGTCTTATTTATATAATCCTCTGTCTGGTGAAAGAGGATACTTGAGACAGGTTTCTGTTTATCTCCACTTAAGTTGGTACAGCTGAATGGGATAAAAAATATTTAAGGCCCTTCGAAGAGAGTAAATAGTTGGTGTTTGAGCAAATTAGTTTTCTTAAATGTTCAGAATAATCTCTTAATAGTAAAACATTGGTATTTTGATGTTGGTCTCTTTTGCACAGTACTAAGGATTGCTATTATGCATCAATTAAATCTCTGCTCTCTGAAACACTGGAAATACATTATAGGCACCAAATCTTTACTGAAAGAAGTTATAGTAAAAAAACTGTCTAATAGGTGGTTTTTTTCCTCTGTTTTTCTGTACTGGTTTTCTAAATAAAAGTCTTAGAGGCCAATTAATTGTAAGGTTATTAGGCAGACTGGGGGAGTTGTAATCACTGTTTTCAATTTTAAATTGGTCCCTTGTTTACACAGCCTTTGAAATTATTTACTCTGTGCGCTCTAAGTTTTTCTCATTCCGCTTTTCTTTGCATGCACTTCTTTGAAGCCATCTGATACCCTGGAAGCTTTCTGGACATCAAACACTTCCCTACCACCTATTTCATTCAGACTTAGCTTGTGGTTAAAAAAATTTCAATCAATTGCTGTCAGTCAGAGCCAGGATTGCAGTTGGACAGGGGACTGTATGAACTACAGAGAAAATAAAAAAGAGGTGGTGTGTGTTGCTGTGGGTGGGATCCAAGCCAAAAGAGCTGCAGTGTGTTTGTAGAGAAGGGGAGTTGCTGCTGATCCCTCACCCAGAAGGCAGGGCAGGCTTCCTCCACAATGGTTAAAGAAATGGAGGAGTTCTGTTTAGGACAACAGCTCTGCTGTTGTTCAGGACTGTGTTCAGAACTGCAGCCTTCAGGACCACTTCATGTTGGCAGGGGGTGAATTGTAAAGCTTTAACAAGAAGCATTTCTTTAGCCTGTACCCTCTGACCTCCACCTCGAGGGAGAATGATAGGGGACCAAAGGGGGCAGGAGGAAATCCTCTAAGAATGTGGCT